AGCAGGCTTGAGTTGAGCATCACTCATTTCTTTCACAACTAGTTTCGCAGCAGGACTTAAGCCGCTCAGCTGTTGATGACCCTCTTCATATACTATCATCTCATGGTTGTGATACCCCCATTTAGAGTAACCAATCACTTCCCAACCGTCACGACTCCGTAGTTGTCGGACCTTTACTCTAAACTCACACCCACAACCTTTCCGCTTTGTATCAAACCGAGTGGTTGTACGAAAATCTCTTTCTTCTCTTTTGCGATAACGGTCACATCTCAAAATGCGATCCATTCTACCATCCCGTTGAGATTTATGAGTTACTACTACCAAGCAAAATCCAGCTGCAATTGCAACATGTTTTGCCCAATCAATCGCCTGTTGAGCTTCTTCGAATGGACCATCATGTCCAAATATCCCACTGTAATCATTTCCGTCTCCACCATAATCCTGCATCAATTATATATTACAATAAATACATTTAACGGATAATACATTTAATTTCTATATTTACACATAATTAACACAAAAAAAAGCATAATTATGTGTAATCAAACTTAATTTTTATAAAAACCCAATTCGAATTTTCAAACTAAATTTAAAAATATACCATTTCGAATTTTCAAACTTAATTTTAAAAAAACCTATTTCGAATTTTCAAAATTAATTTAAAAAAAACCCATTTCGAATTTTTTTAAAAAATCATTTTCGATTTTTTTTTTTAAAAAAAATAAATAAATAAAAAAACAACAACAAAATCAAAAAAGAAAAAATAAATATGTTAATATATAAGGGTGGCGTCTGCCAGGGCTGCCACAGCCACTGGACTGGCGCCTGGCAGGGCCGCCTCAGCCAGTAGAGTGGCGCCTGGCCAGGACGCCAGTCTGGTGGTCTGGGCGTTTGGGCTGGACGCCACTCTGGTGGTTCTGGCATCTGGATTGGACGTCCAGGCTACGGTTTGGGCGTCCATCCTAGGCGCCGGAGCCACTCCGACGGTAAACCGTGAATTTTAACGGTGATTTACCTCGTTTTCCGTCGACGACGACGTACCTCCGGCGTCCCCCGCATCTCCGGCCTGCCCTCTGGTCTCCCCCGGCGAGCCAGTACGGCTCCACATTTTTTAAACCGAGATTATTTCAATTTTAGAAAATGGGCATAATGGTCACACCAAGTCATATTTGTGGGCTTTATATGGTAATTTGCGGGCGATGTTTAGCGATTCACATTATTGTGACACATATGATATTAAGTAAGCGATTTTTGGATAGATTTTTTAAGATAACATTGTTGTATAGAGTTTTATTATTAATAAAATTCTAATATTTCGTACATACAAAATTAATCAAAACTTTAATAAATATCATATAACTCAATTCTATTTCCATCATCAAATTTGTATTAAAAAGTTCTATAAAATAAGATCCATTTATAATATATTTAATAACAAACTTTTATACAAAGATGGCCAAACAGTGTCACCAACTATTACAAGAGTTACTTCGTTAGTGATATAAGGGTTACTTGCTCAGTGTTATAGTGGTTACTCAATTAGTGGTATCGATAGGGGTTACTTAGTCACTGTTAGAGGTTACTCAGTTAGTATTACAAGGGTTACTCGATTAATTTTATAGGGGTTACTTTGTCTAGCCATATGGTGTGGCTAGCCGCATACAAAATGCATTGTTATTTAATTTATTTAAGAATATATTAGAGAATCAATAAAATTTTATGTTTAATAAAAATAATTTCAAGTAAATAATAACATAGATATCTATTTACAAACAAAACTACACAAGGTACACTTCATATGGTATCATATGTTTAAATATTCGACATTATCAGAACAAATTATTTGACCGTATTTAACATTCAAGTAAAAATGTTAGTTTAAAATTTTATCAACCATCTAGGCATCGCCCGGGCACAAAACTAGTATATCATATCACTAATAAATAAAGCCGGTCTCGCAGCCAGGCCACGAGAAAGCGACACTTGGCATTCCAGTTTCTCGCCAAGTGTCACGCCACGTAGGAGGTAAATATGTATTATCGTGACACATATGATGCTAATTAAGCGATTTTTGGATAAATCTTTTAAGATAAAATTGTTGTATAGAGTTTTATTATCGATAGAATTCTAATATTTCATATATACAAAATTAATCATAACTTTTAATAAATATCCTATAACTCAAATCTATTTTCATCATCAAATTCGTTTTAAAAAGTTCTTTAAAATAAGATCCATTTATAATATATTTAATCACAAACTTTTATAAGTAGCTCCAACTATTACAAGAGTTACTTCGTTAGTGTTATAGGGTTACTTGATCAGTGTTATAATGGTTACTTAATCAGTGTCATAGATAGGGATTACTTAGTCAATGTTAGAGGTTACTCAGTTAGTATCACGGGGTTACTTAGTCAGTTTTATAGGGGTTACTTTGTCCAGCCAGATGGTGGGGCTACCTGCATACAAAATGCAATAATATTTAAGTTATTGAAAAAAAAAGAGAGAATTAGTAAAAATAAGTTTTAATCAGTTAAAATAATTTTAGTTTGGTAAAAATACTTTCAGTTTAGTGAAAATAATTTAAGTTCAATAAAAATAATTTCAAGTCAATAATAACATATACTTCGTATATATCTATTTACAGACAAAATTACAAAAAGTACACTATTATATAAATATAAGTTATATGATATCGTATGTCTAAATATTTTACATTATCATAACGAATTATTTGACCGTATTGTTTTTAAACTTTTTAGTTTGAATGTTAAGTACTTATATAATCCTTTTGATAATGTAAAATATTTAGACATACGATATCATATCACTTATTTATATAATAGTGTACTTTTTGTAGTTTAATTTTTAAATAGATATCTATGTTACTATTAACTTGATATTTTTTATTGCACTTAAATTATTTCTAATGAACTAAAAGTATTTTGACCAAACCAAAATTATTTTTTCTGATTAAAACTTATCTTTACCGATTTTCTATTTTTTTATTAAAATCTATATAATATCATATCATATCACTATTAAATAAAGTTTGTCTTGCAGCTAGGCCACGAGACAACAACACTTGACATTCCAGTTTTTCACCAAGTGTCAAGCCACGTAAGGAAGAGAATTTTGGATAGATTTTTTAAGATAAAAATGTTGTATAGAGTTTTATTATTGATATACTTCTAATATTTCACATATACAAAATTAATCATAACTTATAATAAATTCTAATTCCATCATATTATTTGTTTTAAAAAGTTCTTTAAAATAAGATCTATTTATAATACATTTAATTTATTTTAAAAATAATACATTATAGGAAAAATGGAAACTAATAACCCCACCTTTTGGTGGTCTTCTCTAAACAATCTCACCTTTAATTAATCTCAAAATAATCCCACCTTTAAACTTCATCCGCTCAAAATGGTCCTTGATGGATTGTTAACCGATTTAATAGGTTAACTTAACACTTGTCACAATTCTATTGGTTTAGCATTTTTAATATTAATTCTAATTATTAGAAAAGCTTTCTCTCTCATACCTCCCCCATCCTATTACCCCTGCCTACTCAAAACCACCGTCCACAGCGTCTACGCCCCCTCCGCCGTCCTTTCTCTCACCTCTCCTTCACCACTTTCGTCGTCATTAACAAACACCCCTGCACCACCAGCCTGCCTGTATCAGTGGGACGGGTTTAGAGTGACTTGGGTGGGGTTTTTATGTTGTGGCTTTTAGTGTGAGGTAGATTTTGGTGGTGGAGGGAGGGTTGGATTTTGGGTGTTGGGGTGGGTTTTTGGGTTGGGTACGGTCTGGTTCGGGGTGTTGGGATTCAGTGGGGTAGGTACCGTAGGACTTTGGGTGGTCCAGGTGGTGGGTTCATGTGGTAGGAACAATCCGATTTGGGGTTTTCAGTTTGGGTTAAGAACTTGTGAGATTCCCAAGTGGGTTTTGATGGCTGGCAAGTGGCGAAGAAGGAGGTGGCTTTGCTGGTGGTGGTTGCCTGGTTGGTGAGCCCTTGAAGTCTTAGTATTGTTGGTGATGGTGGTAGTGGTAAATCTGGTAATGGTGGTAGAAGGCCCTTATTAAAAATATAAAAAATAAATTAAAAAAAAAAGATGATTTTAACCTGTTTAATAAGTAACCGGTAAAAAGGACTATTTTAAGAAGATAAGGTGTAAAGGTGGGATTATTAATTTCCATTTTTCCTACATTATATATATATATAGGAGTTTTTTCCTGAGATTTTAGAGCGCCACATAGGATTTTAATTTTTAAAAATTTATTAGAGCGCCACGTAGGATTAATATTTTAAAACACTACAATAGAATTATGCCACGTAAGATAAGGTTTTTTATAGCGCTACGTAGGAAAATGTTATATTTTAGCCAAAATGAAAAAAAGAATTGCAATTTATTTTAGATCTAAAATTTTATATTAATTATAAAAATAAAATCAATGCATTTTCTGTGTGCATGACCATATCGTGTGGCCGGCTGAGACACACCAATACTCTGACCGGATAACTCTGATCGTCCGAGTAACCCCTGATTGATCGAGTAACCCCGACCATACGTTGTGGCCAGCCACGTATGAAACTTTGTGAAATAAAATATTATCTTTTTATATTAGAAATTTTATCTAAATATGAGAAACAAAATTAATAATTTATTTTATAATGAAAAATTCAAGTAGTAAGTAAGTGAATAAAATCACAAAGTTTATCAGATATATTTAATAAAATATTTTATTTGAAAAATACAAACAAACCGTGCGTGACATGGACTTTATCTAGTTTAACTTAATTTCAAACTTAGTTCATATTCCATAACTCGTCTAATATCCTAGGAAATGCGGAACCTTCTAGGACTTGAGGTTTCTTTCCCATTCAAATAGGTCTCCATTTTTCAAAACTCGAGACGTTTCTGTGCTACATGGTTACATATGTGGGTGGACACAGGCCTCCAAAAAAAATGAAGATTCTCAAAAAAGAAAGAGAAGAGAGGAGAAGAATCAACTCCAAATTCGGACCCGTAGCAATCGGAAAAGACAAGGGGCAGTAACATTATGATTTCCTCTTGTTTGTCAGCTTCTCCACCTTTTACTATTCGTAAGAAACTAGGGGCGCATCATTTTTATGTACAGTTTTCTCCGCTTTCAACTTTTGACAATTTCATTCATTCATTTTTATTCCAACTTTCAATCATTCTACAATCTTCTTCATCATCTCATTGAGACTTTGGAAGAGAAAAAAAAAGAATGGCAGAAGAAGGAAAGAGAGTTGGAGTTGCTGTTGATTTCTCGGTGTGCAGTAAGAAGGCGCTCAAGTGGGCGTTGGATAACGTGGTTCGCCAGGGTGATCACCTCATTCTAATCACGGTTCGACCTCAACATGGTTATGAGTCCGGTGAAATGCAGCTTTGGGAAAAAACTGGCTCTCGTACGTATTCTTTAACCAACTGCGTTAGTTGACATTCTTTTTTTTTTTTTTTTTTTTTTTTGGTAGTTGAAAGTTTGGAGCAAATCTTGTAATTGACAAAAGGGTAAATTTTTTGAATCAAATTTTGCTGAAGTTTTTTTAAGAAAAAAGAAGGGGATGACAAACAGAGCAGATGCATAAATATATTCTTTGGACACTTTAAGAGGTGCTTTTAAGGGCGTTTAAAGGGACAAGCTTTTTAAAATAGGTATTCTGTAAGACCTACAAAGCCAAAAAAATATGGTTAAAACAAGTCAATTAAAAAGGAGGGAAAACTTTGCTTATAGAAAAGATTATGTAGAAGAGAAGACTGCAGGCTGCAGCAACCTTGATCACGAAATTAACATAAACACGAACCCGAACATAGCATTTTAATGTACAAATAGCAAACACTTATGTTACAAGATAAGGCTCATATTACTCGAATTTTGATTTTTCAACAGCTTTTATCCCTTACGATGACTTCTCAAACCCCACCATCATGAAGAAATATGGAGTCGTACCTGATGCAGAGACGCTTGAGATTGTGAAAAATGCAGCTCGGGAGAAAGGGGTATGTTATAACATTAATTTTTAGCCTTCAGCATATATATATTACTCTTGGAACAAACTGCTCTCGAGTTTTTAGTAGTGTCCCTTCATTTATGAAACTGACCTCTTTATCGAACAGGTTGTCCCACTCTTGAAAATCTTCTGGGGAGATCCTCGTGAGAAGTTATGCGAATCAATTGATAGCATTCCCTTGAGCTGTCTTGTTATCGGAAACAGAGGACTAGGAACACTTAAGAGGTTGGTTTTGGTTAAATTTCTACCTTGTGCTTAGGCTTGTATAGATTCATCATGTTTTTTATATCTCATTGGTTGTCTGGCTTTTGTCTATAAAGCTTAATAATGTCATATCATCTTTATAGTAAGTCTTCTGAAAATTGCTCCAGTTCCCTACTTATGCAAGAAGAGGAGTGACAGATACTTCTTCGGTACCTAAGTAATAGGTCATGTAATAAATTGAGTTAAATTACCTTATAATTATCCCTCAATATCAAAAGTTAGAACCCCATCCTGTCCTGAGCAAGAAGATCCCATATAGTCCTGATTCACTAGGCAGGCTTCTGAAAAAAGTAAATTCCAGCACAAACTTTGGGGCAGTATGGGAGAAGAGGAGCAAAGGTGTCAGTGAGAAAGGAGCCCAGATGAACAAGAAGGTTAGATAATGAAATAGTGCTTGTATATAGGCAAAGTATATGGCCTTGAACCTTAAGCAAGAAGAAGAATTGGAAACCATTCTTATTTTCTCGGCCTAGAATTGCTGGGGTTGGAGGGATGGTGACTTGGTGCATGATTTTGGGATGGGGGTTTCAGTGTCTTATGAGTATACCAGAAGCTGGTTTGGAGATATTATTTTAGCTTGAGACCTCTGTGAAAAAAGGATTGATAAGCAGTTTAAGAAAAACCACTGATTAAACACCATCAGTAGGGCTTAAGGAAAACAATTGTCTGTGGTCTGTGGAGCGTAAGGTTCTGCATGAAACATCTGAACAAGATGATGAATTTTATAGTACAACCTCTTCTTTCTCCAACTTAAGATCAAGAAGTGAATAGATTACAGAGTATTGGGCCGCATAAATTCTGCTTGACTTATTGGTTAAAAGATGCAGGTGTAATAGATAAGAATACCATAGCAGCCATCTAAGAAAAAAGAACAATCTAATGTCAATTCTGCTCAAAAATATAATTTCATTTTAAGTACTAATCTAGTCCTTTGATCGAATGATATATGCTTGTTTTAAAAGCCAGCGAAAGGGAAATCACTATCTAACTGGCTTGGGTCTTTCACTTATGCTTAAGGATCTTACTATTCTTATTGTTTTCTTCATGACAGGGTTTTCTTAGGCAGTGTCAGCAACCATGTGGTGAACAACGCATCTTGCCCTGTAACCGTTGTGCGCTAAGTCATTTCATTTCAAGCTGAGTTTCAGCTGATTTAATCTGGCGGGGGGTCTTGTCACTTGAGCCTCTGTTGGCCATTTGGGTGTCTCAACTCTCGAGTTAGTTCAGTGGAGTTGTTTTTAATAAGTTATGTTGTTTGTAGAATTTTGTTAAAAGTAGAAACTCTTATCTTAAAATGGCATGTATGTGTTCAATTTACTGTCAACCTGTAACTGATGTTTTGATTTACCCTCAGGAAGGGAAAACTGCTTTCTTACAATAATTTCTACTGTATCATCTAGCACCTAACAAAAAGGAAAATTATACTCCCCGCATTTTTGTTAAAATTTTTTGGGTGTTCCAATACGAACTTCGCACTTCATTTTTCTTTCTCCATCCTCTCTTTTCCAAAGCTTTTTAGGGTTTCCTCATCCACATTCAAGATTTTAAACTAAATTTCACGAACTATTCCTAATCTCTATGTCGATCTTTTTTTATTCAGTTAATTTTGGAACGGAGAAAGTATATGCAAAGCCGGGGTTGTTTTGGGGCGTCCATATATAATTCAAAACCATTTGTTTTGTATTTCAGCAAATTCAAACAAGATAAAGGTTCATTATAAATGCATAAATATATAGCTAGCAGTTTTTAAATGCATAAATATATAGTTCAAAACCATTTGTTTTTAAATGAAGTTTTTAAATGCATAAATACAGATTCAGATAAGACATCATTTGAAACTTTTAATAAGAAAAAAAATAGATCGTGCATACATTATTTTGGCCACTCGAAAGCAACTACTCTCGAAATTTTTATGCAACAAGTAGCCACAGATATTCAGATTGATGGGGCAATGGCACACTAGTTACAAGAAAGAATGAATGTTGTTCAAACAATACCATTCTAACTAAAAATATTCTATGTTAAGGCAAAGCAGCACTGCCTGCGGGAATGAAGATCCAACCAAGCTTTTTAACAAGAATAACCCTGACCTTTGTTTTGATATACACTCTCCAGCTGTTCCTTTGCTCGATGGACCTTTGATTGAAGGTAAAAGCTCCCTTGCTTAGCATTCCTCTCAAATAAAACGTCGTACTTCTGCACAAGTCAAAATATATATGACAAGGAGAACTATGCAACAGGAAAATTAAAGCTTAAAAATCACATCTGCTTTTATATAAATACATTATTTAGAAGGTGAACGAACACTGACTTTCACAATTTCCTCCCAAGCGGCATTTTCAGGGACTCCAAGAATCTGTCTTGCTTCTTGCTCTGTGAGAGCCCGACTTGCTTTACGAACCGTGTTCTGCATTGCTTCTTGTGCAGTACCAGTTTTAGACGCATCTGCAGTAAACAAAGCAACAATTAATTAAGCACCATGATACCCAAAATTGTTCTCCAGTAAACTTAGAAATTAAATAAAGAAAACCCCCAACATTTATCTTAATGCGTCCACTTATCTATATATATATATGTTGGTTTATGAAAGTGGAGCACTAAAACAACAAATCATGCACCATATACATTATACACTCACAACCAAGGTTGAAAAATTCTGCAAATGTATTTTAGAACAAAAGAAACTATGCATGAAAAGTTTGAGAGATTATTGAATGAAACATCATATAACAGCAAAAGTCAACATATATTACAGCAGCACAAGGAAATACTGCAGTTTCTCAAACATTATCAGCAACCTGAGAATATAAAAAATAAAAAATAAAAAAAAATAATAATAATATTGAAAACTTGGTAATGGTCCGTTCTCCCCTCATATTTCACGTATTGTACAAGTATTTCAGCTGGCTTTTCCAATCAGAAGTTACCATGCAATACAATGCACAATACAAACTATGAAAGTACAGTAAAGTAAAATCACACAAAAGTTGCCAAAACTTCACGATAGAGCCAGCAAGAAATGATTAGAAAAGGTCTAACAAATTCAATTTTGTTGAATCGATATCTATACACAAACCCAAAACATGCACTGGGCAGTTAAGAAAGAAAAAAGACCATTGATATTAACGGTTTAGACTCTAAACAACATAGTGGACTGCAGGACTCTTCAGTAGTTTCAGTCTTCACAATAGTTTATTACAGCCTTTAAAGGTTCTCATTAACTTATTTAGCAAAAATTAAGTAAAGGAAGGCCATCACCTTTTCTCCCTTACTTTCCTTCCATGCCCCACCTCACCTCGCCAAACAACAAACAAATATTGAAAACTTCTCAACATTAAAAACATGGATGATCTGGAGAAAACTACATAAAGAAATTCCAGCAACTTCAATTTGGGATAAAGCTGGTGTGCAGGGACATCTAGACAGTTGACTATAGCCTTCCTCCAAATTTAGTTCAAAATGTTAAGACCATATAAGAAATTATTTGTTGTCATTAAGTTTGATGATGTCATTTCCAAACCCTAATAAAAATCCAAAATCTTTGACAAGGCAGAAATGGCATTCAATTAAGACAAAAGAGAAAAAGATCAGGGATTCTCATAAAGAAACAATGTAATCTCTCTTGTTTCCCTTGTCATATCAAGAGTTGTTCCGATTGTATAAATTGTTTGCATAAAGAAAGGTATTCACAACCATGTGTATTATCACGAGAAAAAAAAAAAGAAGACAAATAGGAGATAAAGCTATGTAGTTTAAAATCTCCCTTAAAGAGCACATAGGCCCTACCAAGGCTGTCACCCCGTTCAATTTAATTGTCGTGATCCAATAATTCAGACCCTTCAACTGATGCTATTCAAAGAACTTAGAACTGGGGAATTGAAAAAGTTTTATAATGGAAAGAAAAGCACAAAAACAAACCTCTATAGAAAATTCACTGGCATTGTACTTCCTCGGAATATAAAGGACCTTACATTAATCTTCTAATAGAAAAATATTGACTCAATATTGGAAACTGATACCTTGATACTACTATCAAGGCAATAATTAAGAAATTCTCCCTTTCAGGTCTTAGATTAAGACCTATCCACAAATTAGACTTCATCAAACTTTACAAATGAGACAGAAACTTCATAAATTACATGACAGGCTGTAAAAGTATTATACTAATGAACTACAATTTGATAAGATGGAAATCATGGAATCCTTCAAGTAGCCAGAACCGAACTCCTATCTCACTCAAAGTGATTGTATGGGAACAGAAATACCATACATTCCTATTTCAATAACTAATAAAAAGCTTTAAATTCTTTGAAAGATCTGCCATTTCTTGAAATTTCTCTTCGGATTCAAAATTGTGGTGTAATGTGTATCCCCCCTGTTTCGGTCATGGAATAGATGAAATAAGTAAAAAAATGAATTTTTGTTCAAGAATGAAATCTTATTGGAACTGTCAGGGAATTAAAGGATCCTATATCCACAACTAACTCACTCCATTTTACATCATTTGTTCCTCCATCTTAATCATGGAGTTTTCAATAGCATAATATAGTACAAATTATTCTTCTAACTCATAGAAAAACAGTATGTTCTTCTTCCACAATCTTCATCACAATGTCAATAAATCCCCCAAACAACACTTATTCATAAATCTACAGAGAACAATGAGCTAAGCCCCAAAGTCCTTATATGTCTATACGATAATGAATCGAGCATCAAGATAGTATAGTTTTAAAGTGATGTTCACCAAAAGCTTTGTACATTTTCATCTCATTCAAATTAAACGTTTCCTTTCGTCACTGCATTCCTCCCAATCAACAATACGTCAATAGCCCAAAAAACTCCACAAATAATCCATTTGAAATTCCATCTTAAAACCCACTTACCGTCCCATCTAAATCATCAACCCTCAACAAGTGAACAACCCATAAAAAAGCCTATAATTCAGGGTTTTTTTTTTTTTTGGCTCAATTATAATCAAATAAATAAATGTACAATATTTATAAGAAAAAATAAATAAATAAAGAAGGAAGAAGGAAACTTACTAACAATAGCTTGACGATAAGCTTGAGCAACGGCCCGAACTAACATCCCAGAACCCATCACAAGAACTTGAGCGAGTATTCTTGCTGCCTGCCCACCATATAAATCCAACAAATGAATTAATAACTAACTAAACAATATCCAAAAAAGAAATAGTTATAATTATAATTATAATTATAAAAATAAAAAATAAAAAATAAAAACCCAGAAATTACCATATTTGGCTTTAATTAATCTCAGACTCTCTGAATAACTGAGTAGAGCTGAAAAATACAGGTTAATTTCAGAATATAGGAGAGAGAAGTATAATTAGGTTTTCTCCCCTGTTTTTTTCTTTTTTTTTTGGTTTTTTTTGTTCTTCCGGGTTTTTTTTAAAAGTTTTGAGTTCGGGAAGTTGGCTGCCTATGGCGGTAGAGAAGAAACGAAGGTATCAATTTGCCAATTTGTGTCTTTTTTTTTTTCTCTCGTTTGTGTCTTGTATCACAAGAAATTATGCTAGTTGGGATGTGAAAATAAAAAATAAAAAAAAATAAAAAAATTATACGGAATAGTTTGTAGTAGAGCGATTTCTCCGAATAATGCTAAAATACAAATTAATTTCTTATATAAATTGGTTTAAAAACTATTTCCCACAATACTGTCCATGTAGGATCGGATTCTAGGTTTGGAATTTTGGCAGTATAAAACCGCTAATAACGTTGGCGGTTCCATACATAGAACCGCTAAAGGTATTAAAGGTTTTATGGATAGAACTGCTAATGGTATTAAAGGTTCTATGCATTGAATATCTAATATGGGGTACCATTAGCGGTTCTAAGTTGAAGCTACCTCGTTTACTTTAGCTTTCACTTCTACTAGATTATATAATACCATTAATGATAAAATCAAATTATATAGAACCATTAATGGTATTAGAGGTTTTATGTAAAGAAACGCTAATGGTATTAGAGGTTTTATATAAAGAACCGCTTATACCATTAAAATTTTCTATATTAGTTAAAATTGCCAATAAAGCGGTTTTATATTAACAAATACCGAACCTTGAAACTGAGCCTGCGTGGATTGTATTGTGAGAAATAGTTTTTAAACCAATGTATATAAGGAATTAGTTTATGTTATTACATTATTTTGGGAAATCACTCGTTTGGAATATCCTATGAAGTATAAAAAATGAAAAAAATAAATTAAATATGAGTATATTTTAGGTAAAATATAATGAAGGCACCTATGAAATAAGGATTAGAGGTGATCAACATCGGCACGATTCGGCCCGAATATAGGGCTGATTTGGACAAGCCTAAAAACGCATTTTTAGTTAAAAGCCCGAACCTGACCCGAAAAAAGACAAGCCCACTACTTTTTTCGGATTTGGGCACAACATATCATGTCAAGGCCCAACCCGGCCCGATTTTTTGATCACCTCTACTAAGGATGGGATAATTGGGGGTTTAAATCCTATTAGGAGTATTTTGAGGTTGGACGTCTCTTATTTGTCCCTCTCATTTGTCATTTGTTTATCCAAATTGTATTGTTATATTAAGCGTTTCTTATTAGCTTAAAATAAATTTAAGAAGAAAATAGAGTAAATAGTCCTTGAATCTAGTATAAAATGGTAGTTTGACCCATCTAGTATTAATAGTGGCAGATTGATTCCTCAAGCACAATTGAAATTATTAAAAGCTGATACTGTAGAAGTTAGTAACAATTGTAAAGCAAAGTCAAATTGAAAGCAGTGATGTAAAATGGCATCTAGTTCAATATACAATGATATTAAACTATCATAAATAATTGTTGAGATTCTCAAAAACAGATAAAAACATAATTAAGTGTTGTATGTTGATGTTTTCTTCTTCTCTTACATAGCTTAATAACACCAACAATAAACTAAACAACTCCAAATTCTTTCTAGGCACACATATATAATCTTCTATTTGAAACAATTGTCCAATAAACCAAATTTTATAGTAATAGCTAGCAATGGATATTCCAATAATATTTTTTCTTAGTCTCACTGTTGTGCTATAATCTAAGAGGGTTACAAGAACACTTCAACATCTATTTATGAAATTCATAATGAATTAAAATTACATATAGATATCTAACAATCAAAATCATCAAGTCAAAGGAAGGGATGACAATTGTGCGGGTGCAATCCCCTCTTTCATATCTATACCCACCTAAAATTTCTATACCTACCACCTACCTATCATTCATGGCGAGTATATGTTTAATATTCATACTTAACCTAAGTGGACATAAAAAACTCATTCCTGCCTTCACCACCTAAGTGGATATCCACTACCTACTTATTACCCTAATATACTCGTCTATTATATGTCTACTATCCACTTACACTCACTTGAAACCATTAAGGGCTTATTTGATATCGTTTTTGTTTTCAGTTTTCCATTTTTTACAAAACAAAAAACCAAAAATAGAAAACAAGAAAAAGGTGTTTTCACTATTCTATTGTCAATTTTCAAAATTATCATGATTTTAATAGTTTAATTATTTTTTTATTCACCCTATGACATATATCATATGATTTTGAAAAAAAATAAATAAATTACGATACCAAATGAACCATGAAGAGTAGATAAGTGAGGATTAGACAGACAAGTGGATATGAAGATAAGGGGAATATGGGGCGAGTTACAGGTATAATTTCAAATCCAACACTTTTTCACTGCCCATGACAACCCTGGCTTTTGATATCCATACCCACAGACCACCCATCAAAGTCATATCCATATCCATTCTAATCGAGGCAAACACGTATGCAATTCGCGAAGTTATACCCAGTTGTCACCCATAATCATAATTTACCATATTCTTTATTACGAGTAGGTTAAAATTATCCGTGGACACTCCCCGTCCAATATCGGGGATTGGTCAATTAGCCAGCCATACAGCTCCCAAAGAAAAAAGGAGCTACCTCAGTACTCCGTACTAGCTAGTGCCTGGTGAGCAATATTTCAATATTTGTGATGCTCCATTTTTCATGTTCCAACATAAAAATCAACTATTTAAAAATAATTACTCTTAAGCATGTTTGTCATCTACTATTCATGAACAACAAACTGATTCAGGATCCAAAATCGATGATCATTTTCTTCTTCTTCTTCTTTCTACTTTAGGTTTCCACTTTCAAATTGCCATTTCCAGTGAAGTTGTAATCAATGGCGTTTTGGTGGCCATTGTTAGTGCTTCTGTTTGCTTACGCCATTTGCAGATTTCTCTTGATGCTTATTCCTCCTAATGTTCCTTCTATCGACGTTGATGTCTCCGACGGTATTTTCTCTCTCCTCTTTTTTGATTTCGCATTCCATAACTCCACAATTTGATCTTCAATATGCTGTTTTTGGTGTAGTAATTGTTGTTGTTGTTGTTGTGGATGTTGTTGTAATTGCAGTTGTTGATGACGGGAATCAAACCAAGGAGAACAGCTTTATCTATGTGAGTTTCGAATCAAGTCGAATTGAATCGCTCAATTTTTATCGCATTTGTTTATAATCTAGCTAGGTATTTATCGATTTTGGAGTTGAACTGGTGAAATGTGGACTCTATTTTGGAAATGTATATTAGGTGTTGCCTTTTTAAGTCAATGTGGAAAATTTAGGAGTAGTATCTGATTTTTGGTTGACTTATGATGCAAACAAAATGTGACGATGTAGTGAATTTTGGATTCAAAGTCAAGTCTGAAGAATATTGAACTAGCTAATACAAAATACTTCGTATATGATACACGGAGTACAAGCATAAGACAGCGCGAACCTGTCATATCTCGTAACTTGAAATTTGCTTCAGATTCTGCTTTGTTGTGCTTTCATTTTGCTCTCAATAACATGGTTGTAAACATAATTTGGTATTGAAGTAGGTATGTTGAAAAATTACTGGATTATACAGATGTTTTGTTTCTATGGGGGTTAGATTGGCTGAATCGTTGTAGTTTAGCTGTTGCATATTTCCTGATTATGGTTATTCTATTGGTATTTGGGCAGATACCAACAAGGGGAAGACAAACAGACAAAGTGCAATGCTATGAACCAGCTACAATGAAATACCTGGGATTCTTTCCGGCATTGAAGCCAGACGAGGTCCGTGTTACTTCCATGTCCTAAAAAAATTATCATTGCATGTAACACAGAATGAGCTCTGTTAGGCGATTATGTTATCCTCTTGATACTAAATTTTCGACACCCAATTTTAGCTCTGGGTCCTTGGGCTCCAGACATGTTTTGCGGCATGCTTGCTGAAATGACTGAGACTAATATGGTACTGTTCAGAAAGTTTTATAGATGTCATATTAAGATGTCTTTGAAGAGCATTAGGTTTCTTAGAAGGCTCGATAACCTGCATTCCTGGCAGTGCTGATAGTTATTTTCTCAGATTTCAATTGGATGTCTTATGTAGTGATTTCAGTTACCTTTATATCCTTGCTTCAGATTGTTGTATCTTATGTAACCTGTTTAAGATGTAAGTAACGAAAACTTCATCAAGAAAGGAAAGTGAGGTATTTTTTGTTCAAAGACTTTTCTTACTGTTACCTATTTTTTGTTCTAATTTGTATCTTCTTCTTAATCCCCTTCTAATGGGCATGTTTTGTTCATTAACTTTCAGGAAACTATGTATGCGTTGTGTATTAATTTACTTGCTGTATAACTGTTTGGAAGAAAAAGAGAGATTAACACCTATCAATGTCCTATTAAAAAAAGGCCTGGTTTACTATTCTTTATCCTTTTTTAGGATATGGTAACTATGGATGAGTCACATTCCTGCAATTACTAACTAGAGGACTTGGTAGAAGGGAAAAAGGATAAGGATTACTTAATCCCAATTTTATTTATTTATAATTTAAGGAAACTTAATCCCTAATTGAGGACAATAGGTCAATAGGACTAGAATTATGTGTTTTGTGCCTAAGATTTAATCTCAATGTCTTTAATATTATAGCACCGACTGCGTGTATAGTTACATAGTGTTAATTACTAAATGTCCATAACATAAATGTTCCACCTATGTTATCAGGTTCGAGAACGTGTTGAACAAGCAAGGAAGGCACAGGAAATTTGGGCCAAAAGTACCTTCAAGCAAAGACGACAATTTTTACGTATACTTTTAAAGTACATAATTGAGCATCAGGATCTTATATGCGAGTAGGATTTCTTCCTTATTCCTGTTCTCTAACTCTTGTTTTTGTTTAGGTCTATGATTCTGTTCCTATTAAAAGCTAATTTTGTTTCATACGGAGTATGACCATCTCTTTTGCTACTTCCATGATGAATCTTGATCCTAGTGATCAAGTTTTATCTCTATGGATGCTGCCTAAAGTTGTCCAGTACCCTCAGTCCCTCAGATGGATGTATATCCTGGATAACCAGTGTTAGTTGGGATATACATTTTGCCTCCCTGTAAAAAAAATAAAATATAAAATTGGGGTTTAATATTTCTGCCTCCATATAATAAGATTATTACTCCCTGTAAAAATGTACTATGACCGATCTATTCTTTATACTTTGTGAAGTGTCTCACTGTTTATGCTGAAAGGAATAGTTTGGGTGATCCTTTCAACAAATATACTGTAGTAAGAGTTGCCATTGCCACTTTCTGAAAATTTGAATGTATTGAGCTTCTTTTTGTTGTCCAAG